CGGTCAAAACTCAGAGCAAAAATAGTAATCCTTACCCCTCTCCGACATCTTTAAATCCACCCAAGCAACCTCTGCTCTTCAGTACAGGAGGGGACTGCATCATTACCAAAGGCCAAAGATAATAACATCAAGGAGGAAAGCACTCCGGGGGAAGGGTGGGTGGGGGAAGCCTGATTGGCTAGTGGCTGAGCGCTGGGTCATTAAAAACAGCAGCTGGGTATCCGGCTCTCTGCTTCACCTGGCACGCTCTTTGCAGTCTGTGCTCTGCTTTCCTCAGCAGCTTCTGGCTGGCTTTTTCCTATTAAAAACAACAGTGCGAGAAGCCCTTGCACGTTAGGCATCTCCGAGAAACAAAGAAGGTCAAACTGAGTCTCCTTATTAGTTGTTATGGCAACAAAGAAAGTATTGCAGAGGCACGAGAAACGCCACTACAGACCTCACTGCCTGAGCTTCAGTCACAACACAGCTCCCCTTCCTGGGTGTAAGCGCCCCCCCTGCGGAATCTCACTGGTGCCCTCAGCCGGCCTGCATCCCAGCTCCGCCTGCTGACTTCCCCGAAGGCATCTTGTTTAAGAACACCTTGCTGACTGCCTCCAGGTACCAAATCTCACCTGATGGGAACTCTCTCCACTTCAATCTCCTCAAGGTTTCTTAAAACGGGATTTATACCTCCTGCATTGGAATTACCTAGAGATGCTGATTGAAAATATAGATTCATCAGCTCTACCCCAGACCAGCTAAATAAGTATCTTTTGCCAACATTTGATAACTACAGGCTCAGAGAGTAGAATGTGGGCAGCCGTATCTTTAGCACAAATGTAGGCAAATGATTATCACCTGGTCTTGCCTTGGCTGACCCAAATCCCCAGAGGTTGAGCCAAAAGCTCTCTTTGAAATCAGCCAGCACTGACTTTCATCAGAGGATGAGCAGCTTGACCTCCAACATCTAATCAAAAGAACTTAAAATTTCAGTATGAATGAGAAGTACTGAGTTTTGTGTGGAAATCTCAAAATGGATTTATTTTTTCTGGGACTGAAAGGAAAAATTTTTGTTAATAGTTGGTACAGTATTCCCCTCTGCAAAGGTCAAGATTGCCCCCCCAATCATAAAATATCTCTTTATGCAAATATACGTTCTCCTTAGTTTTTTTCTGTCTCCTGCACAATTGGCTTAAGCACTTTGAGGTCATGGATAAGGCACTGTGAAGGCAAGTACAATGCTGGTTCTATTCACACCGTATTTTTAGCAACTAACACACGGCCTGGAATACCCAGAGACAAGACAATACTTGGTAAATGAATAAATGAATCACAGAAACCCAAGCAGTCTTACGTGGAAAGCATTTTAATAACTACTGCATCATGCTGCCTTAAATTGGGTAAAAGGTCTTTTTCGCGCCGGCTACAATAAGCATGCAAAGGGGTAGACAAAACCACACCTTCTGCCAAAAAAAAGTCACTTTTCTCAGTACATAATTAAAACAGAAACAACTACGTCTAAGTGAATCCTGCCGTTTAACCTCTGGATTTGTTTATCCGCAATGTTGGTGCAAGTGCTTGAGAATTCAGTTTGGTTTGTGTACAAATCCACCACAGCTTTGAAATGTTCCCCCTTCTCACACTTGGATATTCACCACTGACGTTAGGGATTAGAAAAAGAAAACTCAAAACCACTTCAAATCACTATTTCTATTGTTTAAGGCCAGGAATTAAAGTGTTCAAATTTCTCATGGTTTCTACCAAAAACCTGAAACAGATAAAAGACAGTATTTGGTGTTCTTACAATCTAGAGTAGGGAGGGGTTGGCAAGTACGGTGTGGACGAATCCAGCCTGTGGCTTGTTTTTGTAAATAAAGTTTTACTGGCACATAGCCATGCCTCTCCTTTAAGTATTACTGTCCATGGCTCTTTTTTGCAATACAGTAGGAACAGTGACACCATATGACCCCCAGAGCCTAAAATATTTATATTCTGGCCCTTTAAAGAAAAAGTTTGCTGCCCCCTAAGGCAGCATGTGTAAGGGATTTTACACAGCAGTCTCTGGAATCAGATTGCCTGGGTTCAAATGTGTCTACCATTTAGTAGCTGTTAACATAATCAAACAGGAAGGCCATTAGACTGGGGTGATCCTAATGCCTTGCTAGCCTACATGAGCAAAGCAAAATGACAGCCTACATGAGCAAAGCAAAATGATGACCTACATGAGCAAAGCAAAACGTAAGCCAGAGTCAGTGCATGAAAATCCGAGAAAATGAAACTTAGGAACAACCAACCACAAACAGCCAACTAGCCTTTCCCAGATAAGGCAACCACTAGAGTCAGTTCAAATAATTTCCTTGCTTTGCTTCCAAGTCTTCTCTGTAAAAACCTCCTGTTCATGGAGCACTTCTAACTACTTTTGGTTGGGCGCTGCCTGATCCAAAGAGATGGATACTCAAATAAACTCTTTTAATCTGCCTCAGTTTACCTTTTAACAGAGCTAAGAGATCTTGGGCATATTTTTAGATTATTTAAGCTCCTTAAGGCTCAGTTTCTCATCTGTTAAATGGGAACAGTACTTACCTCATGGAGTTGTCATGGGGATTAAGTAAGATAACACAAGTAAAGCTCTAAGAATAGCAGAGACAATAAATAGAAGCTGTTAGGATAATCTAATAGCACTCTAACTCTTTTCTGTCAATATGTCTCTTTTTTGAGAAGTCCGAAAAGAGGCTCTGGCTTGCAGTTAACTACATTCAGCAACATTTCTTCACACGCTCATTAGCTGTAGACTTGCTTCAGCAATTCTGACTTCATTAAAATTATAATTATTTCTTTAATTCCATTTGCTTTATCTACTTCTTCAACTTAATCCCCCGTGCTGGCTGCCAAGGCCCTGGGAATCGGGGAGAACCTCTTATGAGGCAGTTTTAGATGAGAAAAGTAAATAAACAAGAGCCCGATGAGTCAGGAAAATGAACAGCGAGCAAATTATCAAACGTGTGTGGCAAAGCACATTTTTAAAAGATGAATACAACTACATCTAGGAAAAGTAGGATGAGCTAAAAGGATGTGAAGAGCAGCTACAGAGAACACAGAACACAAGTGCATCCCAGTGAAGCCATTAGCACTAAATCATTTCTGTATCTCTAATCCACTAATTAATTCTTAGCTGAATTTAATCCTCCCTCCCCCAATATTTCTCCACCCCTGAGAAAAACACATCCTAACCAGCAGTGTCCTTGGAAATCCCAACCAACTCAGATCCAGGTGGGATTTTAGCAGGGCCTTTGGGGTTTTATTGGTCAATCTCCACTTTAGGATATTATACATTTTTGGAAGGAACATAAATGAAAATGAACCTTCTTAATGTCCCTTTTTTGGGGGACTTAGCAAAATTTATTTTTTTCCTAGTGAAAATAATCATTTTGGAAGGGCTAGCCCCGGGCCTGACACTGAGAACGTATACATACCATCAATGTTAATTTGCCTTCCCTTGTAGAAAGAATTCTGTCCCAAGGATAGGAGTTTATTCCTCCATTCATTCAACACATATTTCTCAAGCATGAGCTACGTGTTAGGCACAGTCCTAGGGCCTGGGAAATAGGATTGCCAAACTTAGCACGGAAAAATATAGACCATCCAGTCAAATTTGAATCTAAGATGTACAGTGGATATTTTTAAGTACAATTATGTCCTATGCAATACACTTATACTTAAATAATTATTCATTGTGTATCTGAAATTCAAATTTAATTGGATGTCCTATATTTTATCTGGCAACGCTACTGGGAAGAGAGTCGTGACCGAGACAGACACTATCTCTGCTCTCTCATGCAGTTTTATAGCAATTCTAGCCTCAGAAGCTCACAAGACTTGATTCCCATCTGGCAGTTTCCTGGTGGGAAAACCTGGGGAATAGAGTGACCATCTCTTTAGAAGTACATCACCGCTCGGGGTCCATTTAGCAGATGTCACTCTGTATTGAAATTGTGTCTTTATTTTCCTTGTCATACTCCTCTGCACTTAAGGTCCCTCGTGACAGAGCCTGTGTCTTTTTATCCCTCTGTCTCCTGACTCTGTCTAGTAGATGCTTAGCACAGACCAGCTGAATGAACAAGTGAACAAACACATAAATGGTTGGATTCCATCAAACGCGATGGCAAACCACACTCATGGCTCATAAGGCAAATATTCACATACCTTCAGAAACATTGGAGATACAGAGAAATCCATATAGCCAGAATCCCAAGACCATATGGGTGAAGAATGATCTTTTATTTTAAAGTGTTTTGGGAAAGTACACCAAACAAAATAAAGGCTTTTTTAAAAAGGAGGGAGAGGGGAGATGGTGTGAGAGAGAAATTGTAACCCTATAAAGAATATAAAGGGTGCTTGGAAAGGTGACTTATTAACATAATAGGTAATACTGAGTTAAAGCACTGATTTAACTAATGGGGAATATAATAAAATATGATGGCCAACAGTTAAGCGGAACCATAATATTAATAACTGAGGAATACAGTATAAATGAATAACAAATAATTAAGAGCCATTTTATTGTCAGTACCGTCATACAACTGAAACACTCAGAAGGAAAAACCACAAGAATCGGCAAAAGGATAGATTCAGAGAGGTGCAGGGGACATGGTATCTACAATAGAAAATCATTTTGTGGCATCAACTCCTTTCTGTCCAACTGTAAAAGAGGGAAGAAAACGTCGATATCTATAGAACAGGTTTCGATTATGCTAAGTTTTTTTTAAGGAAAGAAAAAAGAAAAACCTTTTAAGGAAAAGGTTTCAATTATGCTAAGTTTTTTTTAAGGGGGGAAAAAAAAAGAAAGGAGAAAAAGAAAAAGACAAATATGGTATTGCAGAGTTTCCCAAGGACCACGCAGTTAGCCAGGATGTGTAGCTTCTTTTCTTCAGCGCTTCCCTCAGGGTTATCCTCTGACCTCCCAGGTGGATCTGTGCCTGACACATCACAAGCATGTCACACAGCAATTCTTGGCAGTTCCATCAGTGCTCAGATGGGTAGGCAGGAAAAGTCTCTGTTCGATGAAGCTTCAGAGGGCTGGTGACATCTTTTCCAAAAAAGATTTAGAAATCGGCAGTTATATTTCAAGAAAACCCACAACCAGATTAGCTAGTCACAAGTTTCTCTATAGCGGAAATAAGTAACACAGGACACGGGATTTTTTTCCCAGAGGCCACTCACAGGGATATGCAAATGAAAGTCATAAGAGATGGTATGATTAACATATCATTGGCATGTGGCCTTTGCACTGAGCTATGATCAGACCAGTAGCAGTTAAGGACAACCTCCTCCTTAATGTTTCGTCTTTTTCAACTCTTATACCCAGAATATTTAGAGGAAATGATATGGAATCAAAGGACTGTGGAATCTTTTGGCGAGGACACTCTTTGGAAACCCGACCAGAAGTAAGACAATATTATATTTATACCTAGGAAATCTTGCAGTAAAAGAGGACTTCTTAAAATCCATTTAGCCTTTATTATTTCAGGTTTAAGTTCCAAACCAAGAAAAATGAAGAAGCCAGGAAGGCAACACACGAGGCAACTGTGAGCCCCCTTTGTGACACAGGATAGGGCTGGCAAACTTTCTCTATAAAGGGCCAGATATGAAATATTTTAGATTTTGTAGACTGTATGGTGTCAGAGCAACTACTTAACTCTGCTGCCTGTAGCACAAAGGCAACCAGTTAATACGTAAGGAATGGGCGTGAATGTTCCAAGGAAACGTGAAGAGAAACAGACAGCAGGCTGGATTTGGCCAGGAGGCCAGTTTTCCAGTTCTTGCGGACAGAGCACCATCTGCTGGCTATAAGCGTTACCACAAGCAAAGGAATTTACACTGCAGACCAGGTGAACAGCTCTCAGAAGTGAGCAAAGCAAAACCTACACAACAGTACAGCATTCCTGGAACCAAATGTGTGGATCAAGCCGGCCTAACACACAGGGAGATGGGACCCCAGCTAAGTGGAGCATGTTCACCCCACCAACACGCATTCAAAACACTGGACTTAGCAAAAAAGGTTCACAGTGGCCTCTGGCCCCCTAAGCCTTAAGCTCTACCTCATTATCACCAACAGCCCCGGCCTCCATCACACCCCAGTTGAGTCTCTTTCTGACATAAGAAATCGTGGATTCGGATATTCGCACGCCTCAAATCTGAACCATAAGAAAATTATATATATCTAGTCATACAGTCATTGGTACACAATAGCAGTGATTATTATTAAAGTAATTTGAATATTAAAATATCCCAAATCACTAGAAATCATTTCTTCCAGCCTCCCAGCCATTCTGGACATGAATTCTATTCTCTTCCCCCCCCCCC